AGCACGAAGAAAATTTCCAATGCGAAGTTCTATAAAACGATATCGAATCCGATGATTCTAAACATGATGGACGAACGATTTTCAAAATTAAAGAAAACAATCTAAAGAAAAAACAGGGATTTTTGTGGCTCCTTTGAACTACCAAATATCAGTTTTAAAGATGAATGAATCAGACAAAAGAGCAGAGAGAACCGTTTATGTTTTATTAATCTTACCTAAAAATGACATCTCTCAGGAGAAATCGAAACATTAGTACAGAGTTTAGCATAAAAGAGCTTGATTACTGAACTTTTACTGTCATATCGAGCATAAACTCTCTGAATTTCCTCGATCAAAGTCTTACTTCTCTAGATGGTACGTAATGTAATACTAAAGTGAGCGCAGTTACTTAGTAACACTGTTATTAAAACTATTGCTAGCCTTCATCGAAAATCTATACTTTATCGTTGCAACAGTCAAAGCGGTCAATGTCTACTCATGTGGAAATTTTCGGTCTCTTTATGACGTGGAAAGACGTGGTAACTTTTTCCCATTTGTAGTAGCGCATGAGTATGCATTGAATAGTCGATTTTCACACATGGTAACATGTAGAAACTGTTCCTAAACAGATTTCCATACATGTTTCAAAATATCCATGCATGATCCTACGCAGCATCCTGCGTAGAATCATGTGTAAAGTTATTTTTCAGTGTATTTCCAAGCGTGACAACTATTTCCCGCGTATTGACATGTGAGTTTTTTCTTTTTTATTTCAGTGTGTGAACATGCGTTTTGCACAAGTTCAATGCAAGGGAATGCAAAGAAAAACAAAATCCTCCGCTGCGTGATTAAAACCAATAATAGTTTTTTTAACTACGAAATATTAATAACCACGGACGAAGACATCACATTTGGTTATGTAATAAATGAATGTATGTCCAAAATAGAAGAATTAAATATATGGTCACACATTTTTAAACATTTTGTTGTAAATAAGTAAGTACTTCTGGTCACTTTCCTAAGAATGCTCTTGCTTTCGTTTCTATGATTTTCAACTGATCGACAAAAATGTTTTTTTCAAAAATATTACTTTGTATGGTAAAAATTTGTTTTAAATAGCAGTTCGTTTATATGCAATATTTCATGCACTTTCACGGATGACGACAGGAGCTATGCTTTACGCGTGCCTAAGTACGACCTAACTCAATGTTATTTCCAACGGTACAATGTATAGACTTGCATAGAATATTGTATATGAAAGAATTGCTAGACGTGATAAATTTTCGTCATATATGCGTATGATATGATCTTGTTCAAGAATACTACGAGTTATTACAAAAGAAAAAAAGTTTGTCACATGTTTTGAAATGATTTAGAAACCGATATTTTCCACATGCGTAGTGTCTAATATAAACTATTTTTATGCTTACTTCTTCCCATTGATGAATATATCTGACTAATCTTGATAATCTCAACAATCTTAATAAACTCAATAATTTGACTAATCTTAGCACCTTGATTGCTCGTCCTGTTCTCGCTAATTGATAGGATCCATCACCGGTTTCAATAAATAAAAAGATATAATCAACAGGCAAAGATGATAGTAAATCAACAGCAAACCAAGTTTTAGCATAATGAATAGCAATCTTTTTCGGTTCCAAAATAATTTCATCAACATAATCATTTCGTATCACTCCTAAATAAAGGATATATTCAAAATAAAAATAATATAGGAAGTTTAATAATTTAGAAAATCACAGCTTGAACCTGTTCTAAAATTGACAACAATATCAAATAAGAAAAATGCATCTGATACCAAATTAAATCCGATCCATTTTGCCGAATGGATATCCTCACTGAAAAATGAGATGGCTACAGGAAGGACAATAACATTGGTTATTAACAAAATTAACATTACTAAATCCCAATAAAAACTAAAATAGAAAAAAAATGATAAATAAAAAAGTTATAGAGATTTAAAATCACCTCTTCCTAATTAATAAAAGTACAAGTCATTGCACGTGATAGGAACATAGAGTGAGCCTTGACCTTCTGGTATATATGACACGAACAATAACAGCATGTTTATTTTATTGTCGTATGGGAGTATTTAACATCATTTATCGTAATACTGTCATCTTCCGGTATACTACTCAATACTAAACTCTCGTTGACAGCGTTGGAAACAGATAAAATGTGCAAGGGAAAAAGTGTGTGATATCCTGTTTACCTGTTCGAAGAATGAGAAAGAAACCTAACAACTCGATAATCCAATATCAAAAAAAAAACAAGAAAAAATAGTGTTTGAAATTCTTTTTTTGCCTTCTTCAAACTGACGACGACAATGTAGGTATTCTTAAACGATTAACCGACGTTTGAGCGCCCGACATTTGAGCGCCGACATTTGAGCGCCGACACTTGAGCGTCCCGACATTTGAGCGACTGATATCTGAGCGACCGACACTTGAGCGACCGACAGTTGAGCGACCCCGACACTTGAGCGACCGACACTTGAGCGACCGACATTTGAGCGACCGACATTTGAGT